TGAATTTAGATTGTCAAGTTGGATGATGACAAGTACATTTACATGCTTAACTACCTTGCCAGCATCCCCTCTAAATATTACTGATTCACAGCTGGCTGAAATGTGGGCATGTTGAACCCAGGGGTAAGGAGTGCTGACTATGCAAACCTCAGAAGCTTGGCTATGGTTTCTCTGTAGAGTGTTAGTGTCTGCAGCATTCAAGGTGTCAGGATTCAAGAGTGCAGACAACAGTTGTTGTTTATAACCTCCTGGAAGAGCCATTGGGAAGAATGCCATTTCCTTTTTTGAGTTTCAAGAGGCACAGGGCTCTATCTGCTTCCCTTTCCAAGGGGAAAGTCTCTCCATTGAAGAATCCCCTCACTGAGATCGCAGAAGAAACTGCCTGGTGACACTGGTTTACCTATCAGGTTTCCAGGTGGAACTAACATCTACTTGTCTGAAACAGGGACTAGACAGAGGAACTCTCCTTCAGTGCCACGGGCAACGTTCTGTGTGATGGACAGCAGCAATCAGTCTGCAGCGGGGCAGACCTTGGCTTTTGCCTTTTATTAAAATGTTTCCTGCTAAAACAAAACAAAGCAAAAAATGGTGGTGCACACCTTTAATCCCAGCACTCAAGAGGCAGAGGCAGAGCTCTGTGAGTTTGAGACCAGCCTGGTCTACAAGAGCTAGTTCCAGGACAGCCTCCAAAGCCACAGAGAAACCCTGTCTCGAAAAAAACCAAACCAAACCAAAATAAAATGTTTCCTGCTTCCTGCCTTGTTTGCTCTAAGTTCAGGCTTGTGTTCCTTTGTTTAGAGGACATGTGGAAATAATCCCCTGGTACCCTAACCAAGACACGGGATGACATGGGGGGAGGGTGTCACATTCTTGAGATTTTCACAGGGGTGAATCTTCTGCTTCATGGGAGATGAGGAGTGGCTTAGTGGAGGATTTTAAGACCTATTTTGCAAACTTAAAAATTAGACTCGAAGGAGGGATTTCAGACAGGGTCGTTAGTTTCTGTTTGTCAAAGGAATTGATTAGGTCTTGGTTTCACAGCTGAAAGTCAAACAGCATATTGAACAAACAAAAGGAAAACTTTAGGACCTTTCATTCCCAGTGGCACTGAGAGTGAACACACCGACACCATGGTTTTAATACGGATGTCATTTATTTAAACCAAAATCAGTTTATGCTTTCAAAGAGTGGGTCTCAAAGATTTAAAAGAAAAAAAATGTCATGCTCTCAACATCCCCCTCCCAATTTCTGTATAAAAAACTAACTTCCATTTTCCAGGAGGGGGCTAGACCCTAACATGGGAAACTGCTTCACTAAAATAGCCTCCTCCATCTTATTCTCCTCCTCTTTCATCTCTTTCTTTTCCTTCTCCATCTCATTCTCCTCCTCTTCCTCCACCTTCTCTTTCTTATCTTTCATTTTTCTAGGCAGGGTCTCTCCATGTAGCCCAGACTGGACTTGGATTATTTTTAAGATTTATTTATTTTCATTTTATGTGCATTGGTGTTTTGCCATGGGTGTCAGGTCCCCTGGAACTGGAGTTACAGACAGTTGTGAGCTGCCCTGTAGATGCTGGGTATCAAACCTGGATCCCCCGGAAGTGCTCTTAAACCACTGAACCATCTCTCCAGGCCCCTGGACTTGAATTCTTGATACTCCTGTCTTAGCTGGGATTCTTTAACTTTAGATTCCTACATTCAAAAGCAAATGCAGTTTGGGGATTGACTGAAATGTTTAAGGAGCCTGGATGAAATAAATTGGATGGGTGAAAAGTCAAGAAACACAATCAGATTAGATGAGTGGTGAGTGCATGTCCAAGTCATAAGAGCTCTGTGGCCTCCAGGGATTTGGTCAGTTGATCGCTTTTGCATCTCAGTTTCAACAGCATATTCCATTATTTGGTGACTGGCACAGATCTGGCTTAAGTGCCCAAATCAGAAAAGACGCCTATCTGTATACTCATCTCCAAGACTGTTGCATGTAGATGGATGGGGTTTGCTAAGATGTTGGAGATCACTGGGGAGGAGGTGCTGGGGACACAGCCGTCAGGCTTTTTCAGCCAAGTGATGAGTGTAAGTTCACTCTATAAGCATAAAACCCAGATGAAAACCACAATGACAAATAATCACCAATGTGAACTAGGGAAAGAAGACAGAGGTGGTGTTGAAGGCACTAAACACAGGCCTGCATTTTAGATTCAAATCCATCCCTTAGTAATTGTGTTGTGGTGGCAAATAACTAAAACTTGTGCAAATTTTTTTCCTCTTTTTTTTTTTTCCTTTCCCCTCCCCTCTTTTCAAGGTACCAGGGATTAGATCCAGGGCCTCACACATAAACACATCCGTTGTCACTGGCATACACAGCTCTTATTGCTGTGAAGATGGAATAAAAACCACAGAGTACAACCCTGATTTGACCTTTGAGAACTGTGTGGGAACCCCAGCGGGGAACATGTATGCAAAGAAATCAGTGTTTAAAATACATATGGGAGTGGCTTATGGCAACACGCGCATAGCCTATACCTGCCACACCAGCAGTGATAGGAGCACTGGAATAAAAAGGCGGAGCATATGTGATTATCAGAATAAAAGACTTCATTTCTTCTGAAACCCTTGAGACAGGAACTCCCACAGCCTGAGCGGCACTGGGTAGGTAGCATAGTGTATCATTGCAACAAAAGTGAGGGAGATGACACACCCCTCAGTTGCTGAGCTACCCACTTCCAAAGACAACCAACTAGATTTTGGAAGACTTGGGGCTTCAGTAAAAACACACAGGCAGGCCTGGAAGTAGTGCATTGATTATTTTATTAATTCCTTCTTTTTACATTATGGGAAACATCCATGTATTTACAGGTTGTTTTTTGTTTTTGTTTTTGGCCACACACAATCTAGGTAAATAAGCCTATGAAATTCCAATTCAGAAAGCCATAAAAATCTTCCCCACCCCTCCATCTGAAGGCTTTCAAGTGAATCTTTTTTTTTTCCCCAAACCAAAATAATTTTTAAAAATTACATTAGGGAATTCAGATATGCTAATGATTTACATTCCAGTTATTTAAAATATGCATCTAGACGTGTTCTTAAAAAAGAAATGGTCAATTCACAAGGATAAGGCTTAAATTAAAGCAGTACTGCACAGTAAAACATTAAGGGAACATCTATAAATAACAGAAATATATTACAAATAAATTAGCTCTATTTACCATTTCAAATATTAAAAATCTTTAATCCATTTCTTCATCTCTCTTTACAAAAAGGTTATGTGAATTGTATGGAAACATCTGCAAAAAATATAATAAATACTTAATTTCTTTGAATGTATTTTGTTGTTGTTCTTGATGAGGGAGACAAATTTCTTTTGTAATTCCAACCCCCACCCCAAGAAAATGCCCAACACCTTTATACCAAAGTTAAACAAAATAAGTAATTTTTCAGGGTACATACACTGTTCATTACAAACTAAAAAACATCTCTACAAATTACATCAAAAAGAATAATGCAACAAATGTTATGCTCACAGATGTCAGTTCCCAGGTTCCAGTGGATAACAAGCTGTATTGTGTGGGGGTCATGTCCTAACATCAATAATTAGCTTTTTTTTTTTCTATAAAGTTGTTTGTACAGTTTAAACTGTGTTTTTCAGGAAGGCAAAGGTTGTGATGCCCTGCAGGCGTTCAGCTAAAAGATTTAAAATTCTTACCAAAAATAGCTTATGAATATACAAATGCCATTCACTTAGACAAGATAAACAAACCTTCTCTTGTTCCTCTTTAAAATAGCCTGGGCTAAACCAGTTTCCAAAGAAAACACTGTAGCAGAGTCTGGGATCACATTAGAAACTGAACTCTACCTCAGGGCTCGGGGCTGTAGTAATGAAAGAGGGTCTAGAATGGTGGACACTGCTCCTGTGAATTCCAAGTCTTTCTTGGATGAAAGTGACCACGGGCTACCCAAGGTGACAGTTGGCCTTACTCCTGCAAACCTTACATGATGCCTAATTGCTGCTCCACTGTAAAGAAAGAGTGTTGTCTTTTTTTGAAACTAGCTCAAAAAATCTCCGCTCCAGTTGAGAAAGCACTGACTTTGCTCTAGTTGAAAGTTGTTTTTTTGTCTTTGTTTTTTAAATAAGTTAGTAGCCCTTTTCTCCTAAAACCACAGCAGTAAACATTTGTGCCCTGTTATTAAAGGTAACTCAAAGCATCAACGGCTCTGAGAGGTAGCGAATTCTCTAGTGGTTTTTAGAATATGTCTGAAAATAGTGGTTTCCAGAACCCATCACTTGTCTTAATTTTGTAAAGAAAATTTATTTAGCACCTGGCTATGAGAGAGTATTTTTTTTAAGCATCTCTGGTGCAAGCATTTTTTTTTTTTCTTTTAAGACTTCCATTTTTCAAATGGCAGATTTCTAATTCTTTAGGTTGTAAGCTTGACATAATATATGGCTGACCCTTTCAGACTGCCATACTCTGAATGTTTAAGCTGCTAACAAGTAAGGGCATTTTGAAGACTTCAGCAGGACGCCAGTGCACATGGCTCACGGACCATGACTAAACTGCAAGCCAACAGAAAACCTGGAATCCAACCCAAAGCTTGGGTTTCTCTCAGCGTTTCTGAATGCTGACTTACTCGCCTCATAGCTCTTGGCCCCTGCCTATCAAACGACCTTCTCTCACTACCTAAAACTTCAGGATAATAACGACAGTTCTTGGGAATGAGGCAGCATGTCAACTGGGGTAGAAAACCTTTTATTTTATCCATTTGATATAGGACAAAAGTCCTGTGCTGGGGAACGCGTGAACCCTGGATTGGAGTGAGAGACCCCTGGACTGTGGATTGCTGGGCTAAAGGGGTGGCAGAGAACCGCAACTCTTTTTCTGGAAATGGTCTCGCCGCCTTTCAGAAGCCGAGGTGTTCCTGTGTGTGTGTGTGTGTGTGTGTGTGTGTGTGTGTGTGTGTGTGTGTGTGAGAGAG